GGGCAGTGGGAGAAATTTGTCTCTACATTACCCAGAGAATCAGGCATCTTCTCCTTATTTTAGTGGACGGTAGTGGTTTCACAATGCAACGTTGGGGAGGAAGCATCACTCAGTTGCCTTGGCAATGTGGGAACACGTTATTTCTCTTCCTCTACTACTCTGTGAGGACAGGCGATGAAAACACTGCAGCAAGGCAAGAAGATAAGGAACATATCCATTGCCTGCTCAGGCTGAGGTCTCCCTGTCTTCCCAAACTGCACTGCAGTTGCTTCATTTCCAGCACTAACAATCACCTGTTTGCCTATGCAACCCAGGAACCTTGTCCCTGCCCTGCAAAATAGGGGGATGTTTCACTACTATTCACAGCCATCTCTGAAGCATAATTGAATATTATAGGGGGCTCTTTCTCCATCAGTGAATTGGGGTGGGTGCTGTGAAGCCAGGGAGGTTGTTGTGCCTCAGCCCTGATTACAAGGCAAGACATATTGATGTATTCAGAATTTCTGTCCTTGGCTTTGATATCCAGCTTTAATGTACATTAGAGAGTGGGGGGTTTTTTAGGAAGGAAGGAAGGAAGGAAGGAAGGAAGGAAGGAAGGAGTGGGAGTGAGAGGGGGTGGGGAAAGAGAGTGGGGTTTTTTGGGCCAGAATAAGTACAAAATGAGAAAATAGACACTCTGTGGGTCTAGTTGAAGAGAGAGATGAGATACGACTGCATTTCAAACCCTTTTCTGTCCTTCAGGAGCTAAGAGCATACTTAGGGTTTCAAGATCCCCTCACTAGATGTGGCTTCAGCCTAGTGGATGCAGTGCTTTAAAACTGCCTGACAGGAAGCTTCTGTAGCTAATAAACTCCCTGATGCTCACTTTCCACCTCAGCTGACCTGCAAGTGAAAATATTCTGTGATTTTTTTGGGGGGGGGGTAGGACACGTGGTCGTTTTCAAGTTTTGTTGTTGTTGTGTTGTTTTTTTTTGTCACATCCATCATGGCTAAAAATTTTGCCCAGAAGAGAAAGCAAAGATTACTGTGATTCATTTCTAGCAGTTGTCATGGTTGCTAATATAAACTCCAAGAGTGACCAAGCCATTATAGGATGGTCCTGTAATTCTGTGTACTGAAACAAACTGCTCTTCTTCTAGCGAGTAGCCTGGTTCCTGTTGACACATTTGCCCCTATTGACACTCTGCACATGTAATCACTATTGACATAATAAATCTGAACCACTCACAATGAGATTTTCAAGTTACCCTTGAAGATTATTCAGAAACCACTTTGGGTGGCGCATGGTCATTGAAACCACTGCAATCACCCTAGTATTCGCTGAATCATCCCCTTATACTCTGAAGAGACTTTCGAAAATGTAATCTGAAGGGGAGATGTGACCATTTAAAGTGTTATTTGAACCTTTGTCAGACACATGCATTTCATACCATCAGATGTAAGGGAGGGTGTATTTGTTTTCTCATGAATTGTGAACTTGTGACTAACAACGTTGAGCCCAACATTTTCTAGGAAATGAAGCCTCAAAATGAAAGCTCACTTTCTGTAGTACCTCCACAAGGGTGGCGAGGGCCCTTCCGAGCTGCCCTAGTCACCCGCCTGAATCAAAGAGAACGAGGGAAGTGGGGGCACATTAATTTGACCTGCGCCAGAATCAGGGGTGACCCCTAAACCAGCTAGGGAAACAGCTTGCCGTTGTTTTTAGCACCTTCGCAGGTGGGGAATGTGGCTGTTGTCAAACAGGCATCTGCTTAGGCTGCCCCGGGTCACGCGGCGACTTCCTGGTGAGTTCTAGGTCTCATGCAGGGAAGGTTTCCCCACATGCAAAACAGTCTGGCAATTTACATGTGCTTAGGAGTAGCAATTACTCCTCTTTTCAGACATGCATCTCTTCTTAACAGTATGGGCCACTGAGTGCCGATTCACACACAGTCCCTGCACTAAGCTTAACCACAAATCAGGCATGGATGTCAGGTGTGCACACCTTTCCCCAGAACCTTTCATGTGAATGGCAGCCTCACCTGTAAATGTCTATGTGTGTAGGTCCTCTGATGTGATCTAAGCAGATCACAATTCTTTAGCAGATAAGGCTTGTGTGCTGGGCCCAATCACGTAAGAACTGAAAGCATATGTGGTCTTGCATTTGTGAAGGATTTGTAGCTTAAAGTCTCCCAACAGAAAAACAAACAAACAAGAACTCACTTTCCCATAGCATGTAGAAACGAAGGGGAAAGTTGTCAGATTTATCCCATTAATCTCAAACCACTTAAGTAGTTAAGATGTATTGGCTAGTTTAAGCTAACTAAAGACAGTGGTTTACATCCAACTATTCTGGCTTAATCAAGCTAGAGGAAAAAGTTAAGCTTGAGAAAAGATGGTGACATCAGCTGGAAAGAAAGGGAAATTGAGCAAGTTTTCACTTTACCAAGACAGATCCAACTTCATGCAATACTAATGAAATATTTGAGGGTGAGCAGTGGGGGAGTAAGATTGTCCTTCTTAGATTGCAGTGTGCTTGATGATTTGGCTCCAGCACTCATCTAATATATCTGCCTATTTGAAATATCTGCACTCTCAAAGGGACCATTTTATAGTTTTCTCTTGCTCTTGCATAATTGATTGATCCCTTCCTTTTAAAGGCCTGGACAGCTTTCAAAGTGATGGGACATGTATTGATGTGACTTTGAGAGGGACATGAATTGCGAGCGTGTGACAGAAGGCTGAAAAACCTTTCTCGAAAGATGAAGGGTGTGTGTGTGTGTGCTAATCACGTAGACTATGCAGGCTGCCCATGAAGACACATGGCATCTTTCAAACTGGGTTACAGCAGCTGCTTCCAAGATCTGGACTTGACTATGAAGCAGCAACAGATCCTCTGACAAATTCCACACTGCAGCAGAATATGATTGTTTATTTCCACAGGCACTATCTATGGTGAATCGATGCCACCACGATCATTGGTTGTGAATGCACTGGCATCATCCACAAGGTGTTTCATACTGTATAAAGTTGCCACAGAGAGCTGCTGTCACATTCACAGTTTCCCCACAGGCAGGAGAACCACACCAGACCTGGAGTTTTTGATGGGGAGCAAAAAGAGATCAATGAAAGGAAAACACTGCTGAGCTTCTAAGAAAAGGAGTAAGTTGTCCTGTTTAGATCCTTTGAGTGAGGAAAGCACGGGGAAAGAAAGTCAAACATTATTCTTATTCTTTATTAAATTTCTATAATGACCTTCATCTGAAGATCACAGGGAAGTTTACAATATAAAAACACAAAAATATATACCATAGTGGCAAAAAAAACCCCACAATATCCCCACACATGGTTCAAAAGGCCATGGATTGTTTAATTTCCCAAATCCCTAGAAGAAGAGGAAAGTTTTTGCTTGATGCCTAAAGATATGTAGCTAAGGTGCCAGGTGAGCCTCTCTAGGGAGAGCTTTCTACATGTGGGAAGCCACTGCAGAAAAGACCTGTTCTTGTATTGTTACCCTCTGGACCAGGCATAGGCAAACTCAGCCCTCCAGATATTTGGGGACTACAATTCCCATCATCCCTGACCACTGGTCCTGTTAGCTAGCGATCATGGGAGTTGTAGTCCCAAAACATCTAGAGGGCCGAGTTTGCCTATGCTGCTCTGGACCTCTCATGGAGGAGACACATGAAAATGGGCTTCACACATGGTCCAGGTAAGTTCATATGGGGAGAGGTGATCCTTACGGTAATGCAATCTTGAGCCATCTAAGGCTTTATAGGTCTAATGCTTTTATTGGGCCCAGAAACTAATTTTCAGCCAATGCAGTTGGGCCAGGATTGGTGTTATATGCTCGTACTGTCTTGACCCAGACTGACAGGAGATATGATAGCCATCTTCAAATATATCAAGGGCTGTCATGTGGAAGGTGCAGCAAGCTTGTTTTCTCCTGCTCCGGAGGGTAGGACCCAAAGCAATGGCTTCAAGTTACAAGAAAGGAGATTCCGACTAAACATCAGGAAGAACTTTCTGATAGTAAGAGCTGGTTAACAGTGAAACAGACTCAGAAAGTGTTCTCTCCTTCATTGGAGGTTTTCTATCATGGATCTATCATGGATGTGTTAGCTAGGATTCCTGCATTGCAGGGGATTGGACCAGCTGACCCTCAGGGTACCTTTCAACTCTACAATTATATAATTTTACAATTCTAGCTAGCTAGCTAGAGAGAAGATGAAGAGAAAATGAATCAAAAAGTAAGTCTTTCAGATAAGGGTTGTGACACAAGTTGACCTACCAGCAATAGATCTGGCTAGCCATTGCTACCTCCAAGACAACTTGCTGATTTTTGTGACTCCAGGAGTTTTGATATCTACTTTCCTCTTAGAAAGAGAGCCTGTAAAACCTTATGGTTTAAAGATCACAGTATCTCCCCCCCCCCCCCCGGCTTCTGATAACAAAATTCCATTATTTACTCAGTGCCAGATTAGCAGGAGCCCTGGCTCAGGACCTACCACTGACTCCATCCAACAAATTAATTGCTTGTACCTCTTCCATTAGTACAGAATAAAAAATGACCTTAAACGGTGCCATGCATTTTTAATTGTGCCCAGCCAAAAACATACAGATTCTTACATGCCAGTGCGATTTTACTCAGCAATGACTGCATATCCCATTGGAATGGAACCACTGAGGATGTACCTCTGTATGTCTGTCCGTGTGTACATGAACTCTGTCAAAACCGCAAAGGACCACATTTTCCTAGAAGCTCAAAATAGGCTCCTTTCTCATTCTACTGGATGCTGCTCCAAATTGAAATGGGGACTTCCCATTTCTGAACACAATATTGAATCACGCTGGCTCTAGATTCTTCACAGCTGGAAAGACCCTTTCTATTTGAAATTACTTTTAAAATGGGACTGTTGAACTTCAGTCTTCAGTCTATAGACCACTAACTGTTGGTTGACTTCTACTGCCAGCAATGGCCTACTGTCCACGCATTACCATTGTCCACTCATGGGGGTGTCATACTTACCTGGCGGGGGAGACACCTTGATCATGAAGGTGGTTTTCCCAGGGTGAGGCTCATCCATTGCACTGCAGGTGTGCTGACCCCTGCGATTTCCCCAAATGTCTAAAAAAAACCCCAAAAACTCATAGGGGTGTCTCCCCCCCCTTAGATGCTGACAGTGGAATGTGACTGGGCATGTTGTTCTCTGGAGCCATATTTTCATTGACCAGCCCTGCAGCAATAAATCTGTGCCAAACTAAGCCCAGTGTGAGCTAGTCAATCAACTTTTTGATGTGGCCACCATGTTAGTGACCAAGTTTTGATTGGTTCCCATTTGGCCCCACAAGAGCCCCCTGTCAGTGTTTGAGTGAACTCATGTCGTCTTAAGGTGAGGATGTGCATGCAAGCCCTGCCCCCATACCAAGGTGCAACAGTTCTACCTCTGACCTTCACATGTAGAACACAAAGCCTGATGAGAGAGTCAAACCACATCCAACTGAATTTGATTAGAAGCCTCCTGGTAGCTGATTACTCGAGATGTTCAGGGTTCATAGCTGCAGAGAGGGTTCTAACTGTGCCCAGCCAAACCCCTGAGTAGGGCTCCATGCCAAAAATATTTTCCTACAAGCCTTACTGAAAAGGGTGTGTGTGTGTGTGTGTGTGTGTGTGTGTGTGGCAAATGCTGCAGGTCACATAAGAAAAGTTCTCTTCATTTTTAGTGTTCATGTGGTGTGGCTGTAATCATGCAAAAAATTGTTTCCTTTCTAAAAGAGAAGTTGAAAGTGGAGTGCAACAATTTACCTTGTCAATGGTGGAAAATCGTAACTCTGTGGAAAGTGAAAGCATCTTTATTATAATTTAGTGTAAAAAAAAATAAATCAGAATTTGACAATACGGAAACACCCCAATTTTCTGCTCATTTTCTTGAGCTCTGCATCTCTGGAAATAACCTTCAGATTTACATTAACGTTGCAGAAAAACAGCAGTCGGTTCTCAAGAGAGCCCGGCCGATTCCATTACATACCTCACCAGTGTCCAACTTGGCATTCTCAGGAGTCGCTGACAGATGTGGTTTCATGCCAAGCCAATAATTCCCTGCCATTTTCACATGACAGCGCAACTCATTGTTGGAGCAGAAGCTGTGATTTTCAAATAGGGAGCCATTTAATCAGCAAGCATTTGCCCACAACTTAATTTCCTTTGTCCGCGCATGGACTGCAACAGTGATGGTTGCCTTCCCCCGCCTTTCTCATTAATTTTACTGGATGTGAGGTAAACCTTACCTTACCTTACCTTTGTATTGGATGTGAATATAAATCAATTGCCTTATATATTGAGTCAAACCCTTGGTCCACCTAGCTCAGTATTTTCTACATTGAGAGGTTGTGCCTCTCCAGGGTTCCATGAAGGGGACATTCCCAGCTGTACCTGGAGATGCTGGGAATTCAGTTTGGGACATTCTGCAGGCAATGTAGATGCTTCACCAGTGAGCTACAGCCCCGCTCTCTGGATCTTGATGAATAGTTCATGTTCATCAGTGATGAGTAGGCATCCCCCAGTACTAAATTTCAAGTGTTTGAGATGCATGTAGAAATGGGGTGGCTATGTGTCTTCCTAAATGGTGTGCTCTGTTGGGTGGTGTCCTCTGAAGGGCTTCCTGCCCAAGTCCAGTTTAGAAAGGTGAATAGGGTTCTTGGAGCAGCATATCAGCTGTTTGCCCCTGGAAAGCAAACTGAATGAGCACACAAGTCACTTGGCCAGACTCCTCTCCATTGTGGTAAATGGTGCTTCCGTGCGCCCTGGCTTCCACCATGGTGTTCCATTGCAGCAGAAGTAGTTTAGTTATGCTGGCCACATTACCTGGAAAGCTTTCTATGGACAAACGCCGGCTTCCTCAGCCTGAAGCAATGTAGAAGCATATCTAATTAGCCCTGCCTTCTTCTCCCAGGAACCATTTTTTCACTGTGACATCCCATGACCCCTTTCACATGCACACCAAGCCACAGGATCTCTATTTTTCCAAGGGTCTGCACCACGTGGCTGTATTGTGCATGTAAATATATCAGCCATCTGTGTGACTGGCAGTGTGAGTTTTGGCATTCTTCTGCATAGGCTGGAACCAGCTCAGTTGGAATGATCCACACCAATGGTCTTGCCTATGTCATTCACACATCCATCAGCCGTGTGGGTCCGAAAAGGAAGAAGCAGCTACCACTTAGCCCAGAGGTAACCTGGCCTGTAGTGAAGTTAAAATAACAGGGGAAAATAGAAACCTAATGTAATGACATTGCAACAGATGATAACATGTTTATTTCCAGGTACATCGAAATGTCATATAAATGGACAGTCAGACATTATTATTATTTTATAGTGATGGGGAAGGTGATGAGAGAGTGAAAGGACATACAAATTGACACAGAAATGTATTGGGAGCAATCACTGCAATTGCAAATATCAACCATTATGTGAAGAAAATTTGAGTTGAAATAGGCAATTTGCACTCTAGTCTGATAATAGCATGGAAACTGGCAAAAAAAAAGCCTCCAGAAGAAATCTTACACATGTTACCTTCTGTAAATAGGCCATTATTATTTAAATTTTACTTTGAATACACTGGTGCTTAATGATGGTGACCCTAATCCATCAGCTTCTTCCAAAATACACACAGAAATGCAGGGTTTCTCTAAAGGGATGCAACTTACAGAGCTGCCCCTGTAGTAAGGTGAAGTCCAAATGCACACAGGCAGCAGCTAGCACTTTGGATACAGTTTGCTCCAAATTATCCTGTAACAGTGCCCTATTCCTTTCCATAGTTGTTGTTGTTTTCTTTAAAAAAATAGCTAGTAGAGGGGTGCAGGATGGAGGGGTGATCTGGATCAGGACCATGATATGGGAAAAAGGACTTTGCCCCTGCTGTGGTCCTGATCAGAATCTCCCACTCCCCTGCTCACATTGCAAATAACAAGCAAGAGGGAAGGTAGCTGAGTCCCATCAGGACCATATTGGGGGGTCAAAGGGTTAAAGGCCTTGCCATGTTTCCAATCTGGTTCAGCCCCCTCCCCTATCACACTGGCTATTCCCTGAAGGCAAAGAACAAAACAAATCCTATTGTGCTAGGGCAAACTACATGACAAGCCTAAAATCATGCAACAAGTTGAAGCCTAAGGTTGTGCCTTAATTGGATTTGAATTCGTGTCTCTTTATAGAAGTTCTATATATTCAAGAGCAGTCCTCAAAATCTATTATTCCAAGCAGATCCTCTGACACACCAAAATCACTGGGCTTATGCTGTATTCAGTGGCTTGGGAGTTGCTGCCTTTGCCGTATATTTATCCCACACAAAAAATAGCCCTGCATTACAATAGTTTTCAAACTCCTGCATAAGAAAACCTTCTTTTTTTCCTTTTTAAAAAGCAAAATTGGAGTCACTTGACGCCTCTTGACATTTTCTTCTAAAAGGATCAAATGAAAAGATTAAAAATGAACAAACAGAAAATAAGTCTCTCATATGACGGATACCTCATTACCATCCCTTCATCCTCTTCTATCCCTGACAATAAAGCATTGTTGTTCATAGATTTTGAAGCTGGTGGACGATCTGCTATTCAAATCAGTTTTTGAGCTCTGCTCGAACAAAGGACTTCGTGATTCATGAACTGGCTCTCCTCATACCCCAATATCACATTCACCAATGTCGAACACGGAAATCTATATTACATGGCCAGGGAGAGAAAGAGAGCAGGCTGGCATTTTGATGGTGGCAATAGGTGGATGGCATGAAGACTATGCACAAATCCACTTTAGGCACCCTAACTCTCTCTGGTTTGGGATCATTATCTCCCAGCCTCGGTTTTCTTCCTTTCAGTGATCATGAGCTACTACTCAAGAAGATAAGAAGAGTCCAGCTGGATCACCTGAAACCGGTACTACAGCTTGTTTCCAGGACTGGCCAGCCAAATCTTTTTAAGAATCCCTCAAGCAAGACAGGAAAGTGATAGCCTCTCTCTGTCATTTGCCTACCAGCAACTGCCTTTGAAACTGCCCCTTGAAATCTCATGGCTTTCAATAGACCTACCTTCCATGAATTTGTATAATCCTCTTCTTTTGGCTGCAGTCCTGTGCACACTTACCTAGGCATACGTTTCACTGAACACAATGGGACCGACTTCTGAGTAAACGTCAGTCGGATAGCAGTGTAGCACAAATCTAAGGCCATCTTCTCTTCTTGTGGAAGTGAGTGTGGCTTTTGTGATTTTAAAGTGTGAATGACAGCACCTTGGCACATTTATTTATTTAGTCAATTTCAGCACCACTTAGCTACACTAATCTCTCAGTGGTGTATATGGGGTTTTAGGTTTCTCTGTTCCACATTCTGTAATGTTTGCTTTGATTTTATATTGGTTTTCATCTGTATTCTTATTGCTGAAAAGCGCTTTGGGGCCTTTGGTGAAAAGCAGCCTCAAAATCTTATTAATGACGAAAAATAAGATTAAATGGATATAAACAGTAAGGATGGTGGCAAGTAGTAGCACTAAGGAGAAGACCAGACTGTGGAGGAAACAGATATATCTGTTGCTGTACAACTGTGTGTCCACTGCTGTAAAATCACCCTCTCCTCTGTCTCCATGCAGCATTAACCACAGAGGGAAATGGCTGCCTGTAGGATCTGGCCACATGGTGAGATAAGCTTTACAATATAAAACAAAAACAAGTCACAATAATATCAAAATAAATAACACATGAACATGTATTCAATGCAAAACAATGCAAAGCACAGCAGGCAATTCCCCAGTCTGACGAGTAGAATGTAAATACCCATAATTAACATAGTTATTTCACTGATTAAAAAACTCCCACACACAATAGTTCTAAACTCACATTTTAATAAACTATCATCAATGAAATGGTGGCTGCATGCTAAAGATGATAGCTGGTTACACGGTAAGTATAACTGAGGGATGGCTGGCAAAAAATAATAATAATCTGTTTTTATTTAAATCTTTATCATGAACCATGCAGCTACTATGAAATGTGAGGAAGATGAGGGCATGGGGAACATTACCTCATCACAAGGCTAGAGCCTACAGAGGACTGACTTTCTAGGAGATTTCTATTCCATTTCTGCTGAAATGCATGACATTAAGTGAAGCGTGTAAGGGCATGGCAG